GGCGAAACTGGAGGCTTGCAGATTTAGAAGCTTTTCTCCTGAAGGCGAACTCGGTCTTGACAATGGGCTGTGTGTGTGTCTCACCTGCGATATCTGAGACCTCATGCATCCACGTAAATCCGTAATTGTGAGGATCAACTTGTAGGCACCTACTCCAAGCCCTCAAGGCATTTTAATCTTGGCTACCTTCCACATTTTGGCAGTCGATTTACGTCAACGCCTGTAACAAAATCTGCACTCGTTAAACAATTGTGAGCTGCCTTTGAAATTCCTTTTAAACTGTGCTGATTTTTTTACCATTGCAAAGGTGAAGGAGAATTGAATGCCTCCTTTTCGTGAATATGCGATACGTACGAACTAGTTCTTGTTTACTAATTTTGGCTTACTAGTTGGATGGCTTCTTGTTTGACGCTAACTGAGAAAAAACTTGTTGTGATTACAAATCGGGCATGAAATTTTGTCCTAAACAGTAACCTCATCTACTTTTTTTCTTGTCCCTTTCAACTAGCTCTCGGTGCTTTGGTCTCCGCTGTGTCAGACAGGACTCACCGCCGACTGTGAACTCACTCGTGAGATTGCCAAAAAAGTTAAAGATGTGGGTAACTCTATTTTGTAATTCTAACTTTTATGTGATCAGCTGGATTTGGGCAAATTCTTAGTTCATATCTCAAAACCTGGTTCGCTGTTTGTGGGTAGTTCGACCCCAGCAAGCACTTCCGAAATATTCTTCAGTAGATTTCAAAGGCAACTATTCTATTTCCCTTCTATTTTCTGGTTTAAAGATAACAATCCCATAGTAAAGAAGAAAAAAATACGTGCAAAAATGCAAATAGAACTGCTATTTGCAGGAATCGGGAGTCTGAGGTATTTTGACACCTTGAGAACAGTACGTTTGCTCGGAATGCATCAAATGGCTTCTTTTTCAAATTTATTAGGTGGAGTTAATTCTCTTTTCAAAGTCCGCAGGAATTTCTCGCTTTTTTAGTGTAAAGATATAATCCTTTTACCCCTACAATCCTCCAAAATTTCTTCCTTAATCTCTTTTAAAATCTGATTCGAAATGATCGAATATGGGTGCGGTTAAAGTACACTCGTGTTATAATGCCCTTTCACCTACTCTAAGCCATATAAGTTCGTTTCAATTGAAATTTACCTTGCTTTCCTTTTTTTTTCACCGAAGTTTGTCGGCAATCGTTGCGTCATTATTCCTCATAATAAACGCCTCTTGAGGATGAAAGACCTCCTCTTGACCGCCCTGTCCGTTAATTAAACTCCCTTTCCTTGAACCCGGATAGTTTTTTTTGCATTATCTTAACTGGGCAGGCGTTGTATCAGCAGTTACCTTCTGTGTACACAACTCATCTTCATTGCCATTCACGAATCGGGCGTCTATTTTGCTGTAGTGTTAGCCACTTTTTTACCCAAAGAAGCATTTGCTTTCCGCCAGTCAACCCTTCCGAAAGTATCATTACCTGTCCCGTTGGTAATTAAAGCGGTTAGCCAGTTTTACTACAAGAGGATAGTGATGTTGAACAAGAGGCAATCGCCAAATAGATAGTATTCAAAAAAGGGAATGAACTTGGTTTTTCCTTTCTCCCTTTCTCATCGCTTGTCATTTTAATAGCCTATTCCAAACAAGGTTCTTTCGTTAAAGTTCATATCGGTTCCCGCTTTGTTTTATGGTTGTAGCGTGATCCCTCTATTAGTCTGGTGTCAGTTTCAGTCACACCATCAAATTGAAATAGATCAACCCTAAGCTAAACAGTGCCCCAGTTTTTTCTGAAACCACCGAAACAGGAAAAGATGGAGAGTTTATTATTTGTTTACGGAAGTACGGAGGGGCTGTAGGTACGGCTAGAGGACCGTGTCCACAAGCGGAAATGCGGCCTGTGGAGATGGAACAGTCCGTGGGCTGAAATATGGGGTTACAAAAATACAAAATCACTGCGTCTATTTAAAACTCAACTAGACCGCATTCTTATAGTAAGTATATAGCATTAAAACTGTTAAAAATGCTCGCACTTTTCCGCGTGTGCTTACGATTTGTTTCATGGAAAGCTTTTCTCTTTCTTAATGTAATCATTCAATGATTCAAACTGCTGCTACTGTGCTTAGTTACGGTTGTCGTAACAATTTTATTAACACCTAACTGCATAATTCAGGTGGCCCGTTACCAAAATGAAGAGTTAAACAAACAATCGAAGTATTGCATAGCTCTCCCTCCTCTTTTGAGTGTCGTCTTCGCATCGGTCATCAAAACGCTAGTCTATGTAGTAAAATTAGCATCCACGAATCACCCGCATCAGTCATAAAATTTGCTCGCACCTGTGACGCAATTTGACCGCAATCTCACTGACCTCCCTTGGCAATCCCACTGGATCTAGAGTTTCGTCCTGCTTGTAAACTGTATTGGGGAACGGGGAAACGCGCTGCCCATCACGCCTGTCCATCTCTAGTCGTCGAAACACTGGCCTTAAAGTAGTCATTTAATAAAGGAGAGAATTCAAAGTGCTTTCGTGTGGGCAACGTTTCACGTCTATTCCTTCTTGTCACATTGTTTTCAATTCAGGGCTGCCAGCCATATCTGTCTATCTGGGTCCCATCCAGCTAGTAGAGAAGTAGAGTAGGTATCGCTTTTTTGGCATTATTTCCAGACCTTCTGTTAGAGGTCATCACAGATCCTCCCATCCGTAGCATATGCACTTCTTCCATTACGCTAGGGTTTATTACCATCGATAAAAATCAGGATGGTTGTCTTTTAAGATCGGGTTCGCTTTCTGCTGCCACCAACGTAGCGTCCCTACGTTTGCCTGAAGACGAAAGAAGACATAATACTATAGCGGAATGTGTATTGTTGACCTGCAAAAGGACTGGAAGGCTACCGGCATGGCCCGGGGTCCAGGCTGCTCGGCAAAGGTATAGTGGCGCAGCTCTAAGTACTCCGTTATCAAAACTCAGAGTTAAACAAACAATTCAGGTATCACAAAAAATCTGATACTTTTCAAAGCCTACGTAGAATTTGCTTCGTGAAATCCCTTCCAACTTTTCGTGCGATTTATATTTTCACCGTCATTTCCTTTAAGCCACAGTCATTCAAGGGAAAGTTCGCATGGTTTTCCTTTTTTGCTGAGAGACTAATCTATTAAGCAGTTTTGATTGACGAAACAAATTGTAGTTTTATCAGCTACACTAAAGTAGGAATTCGTGTTATTTTGGAATCTTATTAGGTAATTGACATCAAGATCACAAAATATAAGACCAGTGCATGAAATTCCTATCTAAGAGCTCCTTTATTTGATGTCTCTTTCCTCTAAAATCTAGGTCACTCAGACCACGCCCGTTCAGTCACCATAATTTTCTGTTCACTTTTACCCTCTGAAAATTATCGCTTTAACCACTTTTTGTACGAAGTTGAAAACAATGTATTTTTTTTTCTTGCTTATCAAACCAGAAACTGGGCGAGCTGTGTCCAGATCTGGGGCAGGAAAAGCGACCACGCCAGTCAGACTACTGCAATAGTGATCTCGACGGTGCAACTGTGGACGCACACCTTACCACTCTGGCCGAAACTGTTGGTCAACTGGAGGACCTCTCGGGTGCTCTCACTTCTGCTCACCGTGAACGTGGCCGCACTCTTGCGCGCCGTCTCGCTGCTCTCTTCTCCTCGTCCGGGCAATAATTATAAATGTGTGTTTGTGCTGAAATGCACTCCCTGTTCGGAGTTTGTTTCTCCTCCCTTCGTTAAAACAAATTCCTGCCTCCGTTTTTATGCCGTTTATTTTTTGCTACGAATACATCCTCTTCCATCCCTATTTTTGTACGACCTATTTTGTTGAAAATATGGCTCTTTTTGTCTAAATTTTGTTTTTTTTCCGTTCGGTCTGTTTGTTTGCCTGTGTGGAGGGCCGTTTGATCGCACGCATTCATTGGAGGTAGCGTTATGATGAAGAAAAAGTCGGTGTTCGCTAGTTCTACTGTTGTTAATGCAATTTATGTTTCCTTTTGGGTGAAGTAAGGCGGCACGTTTATTGGTCCATTGCCCAATCTTGGCTGGTGCTTGCTTGGTGGCGTGCTTCCTTCCATCGTACCAGGACCTTTCCATTGTTTATGAATATTCAATTTTGGTTCCCACTTTAGCCAATCTTATCGTTACATGCAACCATATGCATATTATGTAACCGCTGTTATACCCTGACAGCAGCGAAGGGTGAAATGGTAGCTTTTTTTAGATACTCGTCCAATCAGATTCCGTGAGCTGCCCGAGCTTTCAGATTTCCTTTAAAATGTCCAGTGCTTTTTGAGGTAGTAAGTACTTCAAATTCTTTGTATTACCTCCCTAACTCGCTCTAGCCCATGTTGCGACTGATGGAGGTGGAAACTGAACTGCCAGACACATAGCATGAACCCTTTCCCTTCTCACCGACTGTTTGGTTTCCTTTCCACATTTCTTCAGCCTTTGACTCGGAAAGAAATTGGTTTTATTTGTTGCACATAACTGAGCAACACGATGACAACTGATTTATTCTTATTTCTTGGCAAAGTAGAGGAGGCCTCGGTTTCGTTGGAAGTGTTGTTGATTTCGTGAAACCTACTCATCTGTTAAATGTCCAGTATTGCCGGTAATTTCCGCCATTCATTCACACTTGTTTCCAACCTGTTTACTCATCTTGGTCTCAGCCCAGTTTGCCCCTTGGCTCATCTTGGAGGCTGAAGTGGCCACGTTTGATATACCCCCCACCCCCAAACCGGCGTAGACCTTTTTTAAATATGTCCATCGGTCATCCCCCACTTCGCCAGATCATCGGCCTATTAATGTTCCATGTTGTCTGGTTTCATGCCAGAAAATATAGCAAATTTCTACTGGAAATTGCTACAACAGTGTAGATAATGCCTATAAGTTCCTCTGATTAAAAAAACTTGGATTTATATGTGTGCCTTAGAGGTGGTCATAAAAAGGCATCTTCACAATACCTAAAAACAATGGTAATCAAGGTGTAATGATGTCTCATCAAGTGTGCGCTATCAGCCCTCCCCATCCTCCGACACGCTTTGTCGCAGACGATATCCACTGTTTGGCGGTCTCGTATATGGGGTGGTGGAGGGGTTCGAGCGCCCATGGTCCCATTGCGGGTGCGCGCAGAGCAAGTAGTCAGCCCCGAGTCGCGGCTACTGTTTCTTGAATTTTTTTGTCACTGACCTGCAAATGTTTGGGGAAAGTTCATCTTTCCTATTCTATCACTCTTTACCATGCCTTTCCTCGGCCGACTTTTGCTGTTTCGCCTATTCAGTGATATTTAATGAAGCTAGGGTAATTGTCCTTTCATTTTCATACTGCAAGGCTCAAAAATAGTTGATGGAGGAAACAACCCGGGAATCACAGCTCTCACTAGGTTGAATCACTAACTGTCGTCTTTCACAGCAGCTAATCGTAGTTAATGCCTGTTGGCTGGATTGTAAAATGTCCTTTCCCCTCGTGTTTTGGTTCCAGAACTTGCGTTATTAATTCATGAGGGCTTACATTTTAACGGTATGGGACACGCTAACTGCTTATGAGTCGAATTTAGGGGGTGATTTTTGAAAATGCGACACGCTGTTGTAAAGTTCGGTGCACATATCGTTTCTCAAACCCCAGGGATATTTTTCCTTGCCATTCTCGTACTGACCTCCTTTATAAGTGGTAACTGGTAATCGTAAATCTTTTCCAATTAAGCGGTCAAATTCAATGCTCAAGCAATACTTTATTATCGTTTCCCTGTATTTCAGCCCTTTTCTCCAAGACTGTTAACTTGAAAAATAGGAGGTGAAGGAGGTAATCTGAAGTGGAAACTGGAACAATTGGCATTCTGAGTGCCTTGATGTGGCGATTACCAGTACCTCCCGTGCAAATATTTTCCGAAAATTCATTTTTGGTTGTTTACCTCTCTCTCAAAATAGGGCGTAGAATAAAGGCGCTTTCCGACGCCAACTGCAGAGCCGACGGTCTGTCGAAGGCTGCGCCATTAAGGCATCACATGTTTGTGTTGCTGCATTCGCCTTGTTTGAGCTTGATGTCACAAATATATACTGTGTACTCTCTATCAACTTATGTCGAATCGCTAACACATTTCATTTTTAAGCAACAGTCAAATTCTTGGCAATTGACATCATAATAGAGCAACAAGGGTCTGAGCCGCGGCAGCCGATTTCCACCCGCAGCTGTTTTAATGCATTCCACCGCCAAGTTCTGTACAGTTTGATTTATCCAAACCTGAAAGGGGTTTTAAATACCATGCAAGTCACTTAGACCTGGAAAAGAAGAAAGGTCATGTTCTGTTGCCTCTTTGAGGGAAGGTGTACCTTCGGGTTTCGAGGAGTTGGTTTTTTTGGTAGGGAGCCAGTAAAGTCATTCGCCTGGAGCCTTGGGCAACTTGTGCCTTTAGTGATAAATAGAGGTTTAGGTAGCTTGTTTATTTGTGGTGGCAGTTCACTAATGACCAGCGGTAATGGAGTGGCGTGTTATGGTATTTACTGACACACAGGGTCATGTGCGCTTCACGACTGCGGTCTGAAGCAAGTTACTGCTGGCCCACTTAGAGCCGATCCAAGCTTTGTTCTCAAAGGTATTATTGGTGTATTTTTGCAACCACTTGTATATGCTACCGCCTTCTTGGTACTTGCACCAAAAATCGTCCTGAGTTTAACAGGAATGACTTTATACTCGAATAAAAGGTCGCTCTCTTGTCCCGTCCTATATGGATAGTGGTTCGCCACTTATTGGGCTGAATTCCACTACTGTGGTTCACTTTTTGGATTGATTCTATCTGTGAAGTGATTCCATTTTTCTCTGCAAATATCTATCACTGATTTTTGTGTTTTAGTTCTCGTGGTACTGCCCGTCTCGCTTTCCTGCCAAGCCATGCGTGTTGTAATTCAACGCGTTAAAAGTGCCTCCGTTCATGGTAATGCTATGCAACACAATATCTTAAGCTTTATCAACACTTCTCATTTCCTTTATTGAACTACCTCTAATATTTACTCCCACTTAAGAGTCCAACTTTCACGACTTGATTTATCTTCCCTAGTTTTATGCATCCGTGTGCTTTTAAACGCCATTACAGTGAATGCTGAGGTAAGCGTTCTAGCCCTGTGTGAAGGGTACAGATAATAAACACCAGTCAAAGCCACACTTCGCTTTGATGTCTGAATGGTCGATTAGTGATACTAAAGCCGGAACTGAAGGAGTCTTAACTCTTGCCCCACTTTTTTATCCCACTTTGAATGAGGACTGTTGAATCGCACTTGGATAGAGGCGAAAAGAATGATAATAGACCGAGTCCGAATGTGTCCTAGCGACTTCCGTCAAGCGACCTGGTTGTCTCCGGGGTAGTGGACACGAACATTTAATAGCGCAGGGATCAGCGCCCCGCTACCCATCCATCGTGAGCAGAATTTGTGCGCCCTGGATACGTTCATCCCTATCTACATGTGTGCTTATTATAAATTGAAAGTTTCTCCTCTCTGCGATCTCTATAAGTAAATGCAAAAATCTGAAGTGTCATACCTATGGTGTAAAAAACGCAGATTAATCCAAACACCCAATCGCGTACAATTACGACAAAGAATGGAAAAGGAAACTCGCGATCTGGTTCTCAAAAAAAGTGGGAGAATAACACTTGGAGAGATCGTGAGAAAGCCAAATTTCGACAAGCAGCAAACTTGATTTCGGCGAAATGAACAGGCGCCTAAACAGACTTCGACACTTTCTCCCGCTACTAACAGTTTCATAATTTTTTTTTCTGATGCATTTATCCGCTCTTCTACTTTCAGTTTGTGGTCAGCTGATCAGTGAAAGCATTGCTAATGGTTTACCATTTCCTTACAAAAACCTGTAAATCGACCTGACCTTTAATGCAACGTTAGTTGCACTATCAGGTCACCACCGCACTTACTGATTGGTCATTTTTTTTGACTTTCAGTTGACGGTCAGCTGATCAGCGAAATTGGCCGCGGGTTGATGGTCTTGGTGGGCATATCGCGGGACGATGGGGAGAAAGATGTGGCCTACATGTGAGTGACCTCCTCAGTGTACTTTTTTTCCTCTTCCCCGCGTTGATAACGCTCGAATGCCTACCATCTTCGGCAATTGATGCTACCAGTTTTTAGTGCTTGAATTTGACTATTTTAGGGCGCGCAAAATCGTGAATTTGCGGCTATTTGAGGATGAAGAGAAGCATCGACGTTGGGACAGGAGTGTTAAGGACATTGGTGGAGAAATTCTCTGTGTTTCCCAGGTAGATTTCGCAGTTTCCTCCAATTTTTTCCAGTGTAAATCCTTCTCTATTTCCTTTTCCGGTCTTGTTTAATCGAATGATTCTCCTTTCAATCGTGCCACACAGTAGTGGACACTGTAAGAGCTGAGGCGCCCGAAGTAGGATATTTCGGAGGGAGAAATCTCCTGTTTCTTTTGCTGGCATTTGGACCAGTTGACACCTGGGAGAGAGGAGAGGGAGGCAGTCAAACAGGGAATGTACTTGTCTTAAAAAATGGTGAATTTATATTCAACTTGACCTCTTTTTTCCTTCCGTCTACTTTACTGTGACAGATCGGAATTGTACTATACGGACGATTGTTTCATGTAAATCCTCTGAAAAAATAGTTAATTGTCGCTCCAGCGCTAATGAAAAGACGTCAAATGAAATTCTGTCGTTTTTTGTTTAACGAAGTCATTGTATGCAACCGTGGAGGTGCTATATGCGGTAGTAAGTGGCTGAAGTGTTGCTGGGTTCGGTCCAGACACCTTTCATCGAGGTGTTGAACGTATTTCTACTTAACGAAGATGTAAAACTGTCAGTGTGTGGTAATGGGATTCTCATCCTTAGTATGACATTTGAATGGTGTCAGCTCGTCAAATCCAGCGATGTGTCTGTTGGTGACGATTCTAGTCGTGGCGGTTTTCTAGCCCCTAGGACAGCAGCCATTCCTGTGAATAACATTCATCCACCGCCCAAAACTCGGGATCAGCTTAAAAAGGGAAGCCTTTCTAGAGGAAAGGTGAGCATAATCATTCAGAGTTTCGAAAAGTTTGCACAAGCTACGTGCCATACTAGCATTCTATTCTTCTACTTTCAAAATGCTGAGATAAGCGCGAATGTGGCAGTTGACTAGGCATCTAGTAAATTGTAGAGTCGTAGTTTGACTTGAATGCTCACTAGGTTTTTTTTAGCAAAAAGGCCTTCTGCGTTTAATCTTCACAAAGGGATTGTTCAACTTGAGAGCTAAATAAGTAGCAAAGGCTTCTTTCGACAGGCATAGAAGCGAACTTGGAATTGTGTTTTGTTTCGTTGTTAAGTGTCGTTTCCTCATTTTCCCTCTGAGACTGCAAGACCGTTGTGATCCACCTGATATCTCAGTTGCTTTTGTCCACATGGCGGTGGTTCCATACATATCCGCTACATGACGGCTTCTATTCATCATGTCGGCTGTCCGGTGGTTTATTATGGGACCTGTCATCCTGTCATGAATTACGCCCAAGAGGAGGCAACACTATTGTCTCTTGCGCTTTTTTTGCGGGCAGGTGTGTAATGTCTCATCGACGCAGCAGTAAAGCTATTCGTTTCTCGTAGGGAAACAAATATGTTAAAAAAGTTTTCAAAAATCGTAAACGTTCCTTACTATCAGATGTTCATAGGTTAAGTGGCCGCTGTAAAGAAGTAACCTGTCCAGATACGAAATCTTTCGCTTTATAACCCTAAATATCTCTTCATTCTGAAACGCAAAATAAGGTTCTCCGTTAATGGTGAAAAGGATACGTTTCGGTAATCACCGAGGCGATCGGATCGGGCAGTAAATTTCGTCATATCAGATCTCGCTTACCCTCCTTTGGTTCACAGTTTCTGCCGTGTTTTTATTGCACAGTACTAACCTTTTAAAGATGTATTTGTAGTTCACTCTCTACTCCCTGCTGAAGGGAAACAAACTGGACTTCCACTTAGCAATGAGCCCCGATCCCTCAATGGCCCTTTACGAGTCTTTCTTGTCAAAGGTCCGCTCTGAGTACAAGGCTCCTGACAAGGTCAAAGGTAACTACCCTTCCTGCTTATTTTTTGTCCCTGTGCCTGGTTGTTGTTGCCTATGCTTGGAACTTTATCGCTTAGGTGGACAGCTTTTAACCCTCTTTTACCCTCAAACGGCATTCTATTACGCGCACCATCGAAGAGCCTTTTAGACTCTCAATTGTAAGTTGCGCGATCTTGACCTGAGATTTACCTCTTTATTTCAATATCAACAAGGCTGTTCACAACACGACTTGGTGGAGAACCTATTGACAGGAAAGGATTTTTACTTTGCGTTCGTTTCATTTTCTCATCTGATAAGGTTTCACTTACCTAATGGACTTTCCCTCCCCTAACACGTTACTCCACTTTTGTTAAAGCCTTAAAAATGTGTCATACTACGGCATACGTCTCTCAAAGTTCCTCCGGTCATTTGTACGATACTTTCCAACCAAAAGTCTCGAAACCTGTCAATTAGCATTGCATTAGGACTGTTGAGATGACGACTTGCAAGTGAATTGGTCATTCTTTGTCCTCTTACCATACTTGAACAACCGGTGAATCGCAAGTTCACCCCATCGTAGACAATAGCCAAGGTCTCGATAACGCATTACTCCATGATGTTAGATGGGTTTTGGTCACCGAACTGATGCCATTCGGAATATTCCGAGTCCATTAGATCCTGCCCTTTTGCTGTCCGTTCCTGATTGTACGACTGATTTCCTAGTCAAAAGAAAAATTCATGAATTCACCAAAGTGCCATTGAAAGGTAGCCATTTGGTAGATCAAGAGGAGTGTTTGAAATAGCAGTGATGGATTGCCTTCACAGCGCCCAAAAGCCGTCAAATTGAAATGTCAAATAGAGGTCTGTGAATCCTTCAATTTCAATCCTATGCAATCGCTTACTTGATGCTCAAGTGGCCAAATGAAATTTTCAGGTTATCGTTAAAATATTTAGTAG